AGTGGGTAGATACACGTTGGGGGATGGGGTGTGTATGTGATGGGGGAGTGGCTGTATACACAATTGGGGAGTGAACATATACGTACACGATGGGAGAGTGGGTGTATATGACACATGATCATCTGTTTTGCGATTACCAAAGTAAATTGTGCAACAAAACCTCTGCAGCAAGTAGCTTCGGCAGTAAGTGTTATACAGCCAATCAGCAAAGAGTACAAAATCCTGAGCCAGACCAATTAGATCACAAGCTGACTGATTAATAAAAGATATTTCTCAGGCACTGGTGTATGCATTTTCTACAGGATTATTATTTTCTACACAATTAAAGAATCAACTGATTACTTTTTATTATTGGCGATCACTGGTGAAGCCGATGCAAAGATGCCTACTATGGCATAATTCTAAAATTTAGTAACCCACTGTAACAAGTCAGTATTTCAAATAATATGTCATTCAAAGGAGTTTTAAGCAACAATAAAAAGGCTGATATTTATTGTAAATGTATGTTTCTCATATATGTAAGCAAGTGTGGCTCCAGAATGTAGTCTTAACTTTTACTGAGACTTTAATTAAATCTTTGTCTTAAATCATTGGTGGTTCTTCATGGAAATGGGACTTAAAAGTAAGCGAAGAACCTCTGACCAAATGGTGTTCTGCAAAATTAATGAATGACAGATATTGCAAATTTGTATTGTCAACAAAGCTGAACTCGTTTCATGAGTGTCGATCTGATAGTGTGCACCACATTATACCAGCGTTTTTAAACCAAGTCCCTGATGTGTCATTTTTCTTCATTCATGGATCAACCCGCTCTTCTTGCAGAGAGATCCACTGTATTTCATTGTTTTAGCCTGGGATCAAGCAATTAATCCAAAGGTAAAAGGACGGCCCCAATAATGAACCAGAAGTGCCTTTTATAGATATACTGTACATTTTAAAAGTGTCTTGTAAATGACTATTATATATTTACACAAGTGCTACTAATAAACCTATTTCTCAAACAGCAACTAGTGTATGAATGTAAATTCAAATGGATCAAAATTTTGCATCAGAACATTATCAGGTACAGAGACATGTGGAACCATTTTAGCCGAACCTGAATGAGTTGTCTAGTTTATGTCCCATTCAATTTGCTTTTTATTATATCAGTTATAATTTATTTTCTATTCATTTGTGGGATGTGGGCATCACTGGTTAGCCAGTATTTATTGCCCATCCTTAGTTGCCCTCAAGAAGGTGGTGCTGAGCTGCCTTCCTGAACCACTGCAATAACATTGGAATTCACCCTCCAAAGGTATTATTTTCTAGGACACTTTGAGTAAATCTTACCAGAAATAGGCTATTTCTGTGTCAAGTTTCATGAAGGGTTTCTCTCTCTGAGTCCTGGTGGGTTTTCTTACGCTGTCACCTCATTAACTACATACCTTATGGCACCCACTTGTCCAATGCCCTGCTAACTATGGGCAGAAACACTCGCCACTGTAGGCTATCCTGGGATCCCTGGTGCCAGCACGTCCTTTAAAAAGCTGTCGTACACCCAGTCTAATGCTGTCAGTCTGGAGTTGCCCTGTGTGGTTGGGTGATGTTTACCCCAGGCGCGGCAGTTAAGGGGAAATTGGAGTCTTGCTGAACTGGTGTTGAAGTGGACAGGTGGTACAGAGGAGTGTTCCATGACTGGCAGAGGAGATCACGGCGCCAGCCCCTGCCAATCTGGTCTGAGTTTCCACAGTGTGGTCTCAACCATCTGGAGGAATGCCCGGCAATGTAAAATGAAGGTAAATGACCTCCACTTCACCAGGTGAGGGCCATCATTTTCTCCCTGCCATACTGACTCTATCTCTGCTGCTACACTTACCTCCCACCATGCTCTATCACTCTCACTATTGCATGTAACATCTTCCCTCAACCCCAGCTGCAATAGCACAAACACTATGCAACCCAATTTCATCTCACTCAATCCCTCCTTTTCTCTTATTCCAAGAAAAACTGGCTAATAATATGACAGGAGGTAACAAAGTGTGGAACTGGAGGAACACAGCAGGCCAGGCAGCATCAGAGGAGCATAAAAGCTGACGTTTTGGGTCAGAAACCGGGGAGAGGGAAGGGAGCTCTGAAATAGAGAGTGGAGGGGTGGGACTGGGGAAGGTAGGTGGGCTGGTAATAGGTGAGTGCAGGTAGGGAGTGGTGGGGATTGGCCAGAGAGGTGGGAGGAGCGGATGGTTGGGAGAGAAGATGGACAGGTTGTGTCAGGTCAAGGAGGCAGGATGAGAGGGTGGTTTGGACATGGGATGAGGCTGGGGGCGGGGAGATTTTAAAACTGGTAAAATCCACCTTTAGGCCGCTGGGCTGTAGGCTCCCAAGGTGGAATATGAGGTGTTGCTCCTCCAGTTTGCGGGCGGTGTCATTGTGAAAGTGGAGGAGGACCAGGATGGACATGTCACCCAGGGAGTGGGAGGGGGAGTTGAAATGTTTCGCGACTGGAAGGTGTTTGTCACATACAGAGCACAAATGCTCAACAAAAGGGTTTCCGAGTCTCTGTTTAGTCTCACTGATGTAGAGGAGGCCACATCGGGAGCAGCGGATGCAGTAGATCGAGTTGGCGGATGTGCAGGTGAACCCCTGTCTAATGCGGAAGGTTTGTTTTGTGTCTTGAATGGAGGTGAGGGGGGGAGGGGCAGGTGTAGGGGCAGTTGTAGCACTTCCTGCGGTTGCAGGGAAAGATGCCAGGGGTGGTGAGGTTAGTGGGGAGTGTGGAACAGATGAGGGAGTGGCGGACAGAGCGGTCCCTACGAATGGCAGGAAGTGGAGGGGAGGGAAATATCTCTTTGGTTGTGGGGTCGGTTTGTAGGTGGCAGAAGCAGCGGAGAATGATACATTGGATGCAGATGTTGGTGGGGTGATGTGTGACAAGGGGGATTCTGTCTTTATTTTTGTTTTTGTTGGGGGTTGGCAATGTGAGGGCAGAGGTGAGGGAAACACAAGAGATCCGTTTGAGGGTATTTTCAATCAGCAGAGGGGTTTTTTTTGCCACAAGACCTAATGGGTTTTTCACTATTATCTCACCATTCCTGCCTCAATAATTATCCACCACCCCACTACAGCATCTCTCACATTGGATTTCCTCTTCATCTTACCTAGTGCTCTTCCTACAGCAACTCAGCAGTCAGCAGATAACCACCAAATACTAGTATCCCATGCAGCCATGCCACCTTTAAAAGCTCATTGTGCACTCGGACATAACCTGCCCCTCTTTGCAGGGAGAGTGCTGGAGTTTCAGCAGAATGGGATGGTGACAACATGGGACTTCTTCCTCCCCCTCCATCAAGACCAGCATTAAAAGGCCACGATACCAACCATGCCAACATGATTCAAGCTTGTCACCTGGGTTAAAGCAGCTTCAATTTTCTGGAGAATTACCCAGCACTATATGAGGAAGGTCAATGTCTTTCTCCATCTGACAGGGTAAGTGCTGCTATCTCTCCTAAACCTCACACTCACTCAATCTCAGTTCCTGCACCATCTCCCACCACTCTCACTATCACAGGCAGCATCTTCCTCATTGGCTCTCATCCACCCTAACCCCCCAACAGCACTAACCCTGCATGCCCTCTGCACTGCCTAGTCCCCCATTGGGACCGGCACCAAAAGTAACAGTTGTGCCACCGTTACAGTCCCTCTCTCACTCCAGGAAGAAAACAGCCCACAATGGGAGGAAAGAGTCAAATTATGCAGAGGGCTACCCATCATTTGACTCCTCATCCTTTATAAGGAGAGTATCCTGATTCTGACTGCCCTGAGCACACCCCTGACTGGTTTCAGAGACTGCCTTTGGCTTACTGTGCCAGGACTCTCTGAGTGAAGGCTATACTCTTGACTGAAGCTTGCTGGACACCCATGTCAAGGTTCCTGGCATTGTTGTGCGCCAGGCAGGAAGGCAAGGCAGCCTTGATATCAGCTTGGTATCTCTGGCTAAGGGAGAAAAGTGCTTTAGGGAGGCCCAGAGCAATGAACGCTATGACTGTCAATGAAGTGTCCAGAGATGCAGCCTGATCCAGTTCATCAGCTGGGAGCATGTCCCTGAGCCACACATATTACTATCACTCATGTCACTCAGATTCTCAAAGGTGGGGTAAATAGGTGTTAAATCAGTGCCTGAACATTCTTATTGCAAGAAACCATTGAGATTAGAGAGGAATTCCTTTACTGCAAAGTTCTTTTACTAGGACAACTGCAACTGTATTTGTCAGTTTTTAACCAAACCACTAGATGGCTCAAAGTGCTACGATAAAAAGCCTATTGACAGCTATCCCAACCATCCTCAGCAACAAAACCATTTCGTGGGTTTGAACGTTAAATACATTGAAGATTAACAAACATAACAGGGAGTCTAGTCCCTACAATAAGATATGAAGGAAGTCGAAGGTTTCTGGACCCTAAAAGACACAGTGACCTTGAACTGGCAAATTATTTAATGCAAATAGGCAGACCCATTGCAATATGAAATCTAACATTAACGAACACAAAGCATTGTATATTGGATAAAAGAATAAGCAGCACAGGTACATAATGAAAAACGAAAACTTCAAAAGGTGCCTGAGATTATTGGTAAGCTCACAATTTCAATATTGCAATTTTAAAAACTATCCAAATGTTGGAATGTGTAGGTACAGCAATAATTCTACAGTTGTTATCTTAAGAATTAATAATGGAGGAGTCAGAACTCACTTGGAGAACTATGAGCCACTTTCTGCAGGGCGTATATACGCCAAAGGATGCAGAGAGCAGCAACAAGAATGATGCAGGAGATGAGAACCATTTATATTCAGCAGCTACATTATAAATGGCATTGCTAAGCTGAACCCAGAGTGACCAGACATCCCAATTTTGCCAAGACAGTGCATATAAACCGACATTTTCCTAGCTACCATCAGTTCTGAGGAAGGGTCACTGGACCTGAAACATTAACTCTGATTTCTCTTCACAGATGCTGCCCGACCTGCTGAGCTTTTCCAGCAACTTCTGTTTTTGTTGCTAAGGCAGTCCTAGATTTTCATTAAAAGTCCTGCTGTCCAAACAATTTTCTAAAAGATGGTGAACTCTCCCAGTTTTCACCTTTTCCTTTTCTTAAAATATATACTGGCTCTGGGGGAGAAACTCAATGTGAACTTCTGCCCTTCTTCATGTAGGCACCCATCACATCCTATTATATTGCATGCAGCAAATCTCTCCCCCCACCTTGCTTCTTTTGTGCCAGCTGCTTCATTGTCAATGACACTTTTTCAAGCATTGTTGGGATACAGCTGCCAATTCTAGCCGGACATATTCCAGGCAATGTCATCACATGACCTCCCTCTTTCAATCACCCCTCTCTAGACCACTGCCATTGGTCACCCAACATATTAATCTTTTGGAAGCTCCGGCTTCGGGTTGGGCCAGCAGGACCATGAGACCATACATTTAAAATAGTGAAAAATATACCAATCAACTGATAGAGGCGAGTACATCTTCGTCATTTAAGAAACATTTGGAAAGGTACATGGATGGGATAGGGATGGATGGATATGCAGGCAAATGGGACCTGATTAATTGTGAAAACTGGGCAGCATGGACAAATTTCCTGTTTCCACACTGTAAACCTCTATGACCCTATGACTCTAACTCTTAACCAAGATTGATAAAAGTGTGAATAAACTGCAGACAAGGTAATTGAGACTAGGAATGTTCAAATATTGTTGGACGTCAAGCTGGACATTTTGGAACAATATAGGCACAAACTTTGATGAGCAAAATGGCTCTTTATTGTTCTTGATGATCATTTTTGTTGTTGAAGATAAATTATCTTCACACAGAGCCACAGGTTTATTTTCTTTAATTGCAAGGTATCCTGACCAGTTGCTGCATTCCACAATCCATTCCCAGTTATTGTGAGTAAAAACACAAGGATCCTCCTTTCTGACCTATGACAAATAAGGATATAAAATCTCAGTTTGGAAAATCTAGCAGTTTGTTTAATGTGATACCACATCCTGGTTTAACCCACAAAATGGCCTTTCAACTGACAGAAAATGTTACCACTTCTATTAACTGTTAATCATGCCTCGAAGCTGAGAACCCCCTAGTTCTACATTTTAAAAATAAACATTTAAAAATAAAACCAGTAGCACAACAGATCCCCAGAGATAGTAAGAACTGCAGATGCTGGAGTCAAATATAATACAGTGTAGAGCTGGAGGAACATAGCAGGCCAGGCAGCATCAGAGGAGCAGGAAAGTTGACGTTTCAGGTCAGGACCCTTCTCCAGAAAAACAGATCCTTCCCTCCAGCAATGCAGAACTTAGCTCTTTTCAACCCCACACTTTAGAAAAGATTTGAAATCAATAGGGTGCTTAGAGAAAAAATCCATAAGAATGGTTCCAGGGAAGAGAAACTGCAATCATGTGGATAGATTGGAGAAGGTTGAGAAACTTCAAGTGTGTGAATAGATTGAAGGTTGCCCTGCAAAAAAAGAGAAAGTTGAGAGGAGATTTGATAGAATTATTGAAGATCCTGAGGAGTTAGACAACATAGGGAGAAACATTTTGATGCAGTGGGTAGTTAGAATCTGGAATGTACAGTGTGAGATGGTGATGAAGGTGGGTTCACTCATGGCTTTCAAGAGAGAATTGGATAATTATCTGAAGAGGAGTAAATTGCATGGAAAAGATATAGGGAGTGGGTAAAATGGTGTTATACTTGCAGAGGGCTGGCATGGATATGATAGGCCACATGGCCTCCTGTGCTGCAACCATTTTGTGATTCTGTTTCTCTCTCCACAGATGCTAACTGACCTGCTGAGTGCTGGAACACAAAGCTAGTTCAGTACAGCAGCAAAAACTGGAGGCTAGAATGCTCTGTTGTGGACAGTTGATACTTAAGTTTTTCATAACAAGAGCTGAAAATTAGTGGCAGTAAGGAAGGGGCATTTCTAAATTTTAGACTGACACATGACTCAAGGTGTTGAGGCCAGTTTATGGACACCATAAATCATATAATGCATTGGGCATCTATCATGCCCTAATTGAATTAGAACTGTTCGATGTATGCAGTTCTCTTTTGCAGATAAGTGATCCTAAGAAAAGAGCTGTAAAAATTTAAGCTGCTATTGACAAGATGGGGCTTTAGATAATTGACACATCTGATCTTTCGATAGGTGCCACAAAGATCCACAAAAGATCTGCAAAGTTCTCAAAGAACACCTCAATGTAAGAATTAACTTCAGGACTAGTAGACACTCAGTCATGTCATACATACAGCAGCACCAAGAGTCTAAAAACCGAAAGAACTGCGGATGCTGTAAATCAGGAACAAAAACAAAGTTGCTGGAAAAGCTCAGCAGGTCTGGCAGCATCTGTGAAGGAAAAAACAGAGTTAACATTTCAGGTCCAGTGACCCTTCCTCAGAAGGGTCATAGAATCGCTATCGTGTGGAAACGGGCCATTCGGCCCAACAAGTCCACACCGCCCCTCCGAAGTGCATCCCATGTCTGTACCAGTTGAAGCCTTTAGAAAGAATCTTATGGATGATAAAAGGGCCATACCATTGATAAAATACTCAAGGAAGGGTGCAGGTATGAACCATAGAGGCCTACAACAAGTATGTGCTTTAGATGCAGCCATCACCATTGCTACAGTTAGCAAAGTGCACCAAATCTGTGACTGTTGTAGATTGTCAACCTACCCAAAAGCTGTCCAGCTTTTCTTGATATCTGTGAACAATGCAGCAGTAAGGGACAATGGGCACATGTTCAGGAAATCTGGTCCCGAAAGCCTCTGGACAGATAGTGTTAGTTAAAAATACAAACACTTGGAAGGCAGAGTTAACATTTCAAGTTCAGTGACCCTTATTCAGAACAGGACTGGACTCAAAACGTTAACTCTGTCTACAGATGCTGCCGGACTTGCTGAGTTCTCCAGTAATTTTTATCTTTGTTTCGCCTTTGCAGCATCCGCAGTTCTTTGATTTGTTTTACTTGGGTACTACCAAATATGCGACAAGCCCAGATCATACAAAATTATCAATGAACAGTGTTACATTCAGACAATGGTTGTGCAGTGGCATTGAGTGGCTGCAGGTCAACTAAGTTGTCAAACAAGCATAAAAGAGAACAGTGCATACCTCTCCAAACTAATATATAATACTCAGATCAGGACAAGTTGACAAACCTCCAGTGTTACACTGAAGTTTAAAAGGTTAGTCTTCAAAACTCTGTTTTATCTGTTTATGTAATTATCAAATTGACAACACATGCCTATGTAAGACTATGTATATCTGTTTTAGGTAAGTTTTTATCTTTGAAAAAAGTGGTGCTTGTATAATGTCTCATTGTCAGTACACAAGGCACAACAATGCCCCTTCTTCCTCAGGAGGCTTAGGAAATTTGGCTTCTCCGTAAGAATCATCACCAACTTTTGTAGATGCACCATTGAAAGCATTCTGTCTGACTGCATAACAGCTTGGTATGGCAACTGCTCTGCCCAGGACCGAAAAAAATCTACAGAAAGTTGTGTGCACAACCCAGTCCATCACAAAAGCCAATCTTCCATCCATGGGCTCCATCTACATTTCTCGTTGCCAGCATCATCAAAGACCCTCCCACCCCAGTTTACTCTCTTCCCACCTCTTCTGACAGGTAGAAGATGCAGAAGCTTGAACAATAAGTTCAAGAACAGCTTCTTTCCTGCACTTTTTAGACTCCTGAATGCAGCCGTCTAATTTCAAATCTAATTTTTTGATTTTGTGCATCTCTTGTGCTGCTGTAACCCTATGCGCCTCGCTCAATCTAAACACCGTATGATCTGTATGTTCCTGTATGTTATGATCTGCCTATGTTACTTGCAAAACTAAACTTTTCACTGTACTCAAGTACATGTGACAACAATAAATCAAGCAAGCAATAAATCAGTACACCAACATATTTTTAAAAGGACTGCTTCAAGATACCTTCATCGTATCATAACGTGACCTGAGGGTGTAAGGTTCTCATACTCCAACCTCCGATCTGATGAAGCAGGAGACTCTACTACCAGCATGCTCTACAGTTATAAATCAGTAGCTTAATATTAGCCCAGACACTTGAGTACCTGAAGAATGTAATGTTTGTATATAATGGTTTGTTGTATTAAATATCTGTTGAATTCTTTGATTCTATAATATCTACATCAAGTTTCTTATGTTACAGGAGATATCATAAACACTGCTGTAGCAAGTAAAACATTTTGATGGAGGAAAACTCACAATAGTTTGCCATTGCTCAGCTGAGGAACACAGTCATACTTGAAACTGAAAGGGAAAATTAAAATGTCAGAGAAATTCGGAGGAAAGAGATCATATAAACCAATGTTTTTGTAATGAACTGATCTGTTTCACCAAACCATGAATCATTACAATATAAATTGTAAAAGATTGCATGAGACTTTTGCAAAAGTTCCCTTTTCTAAAAAGTTTCTTTAAAGTTTCTGTTCCTGAACTCATGACTGGCCAACCCAGTCAAGTCTTTTCTCATTCTCCTCCACAGTCTGGGTCCTGGCCTTTTCTGTGCTACGTTAGAAACATAGGAGCAGGAGTAGGCCATTCAGCCCCTCAAGTCTGTTCCACCATTCAATGAGTTATCATGGCTGATCTGTGGCCTAAATTCCTTTGGTCCAAATCCCTTAAAACTTTTGCTTTACAAAAATGTATCGATCTCAGATATAATACTAACAATTGATTCAGCATTCACTGCCATTTATGGAAGTGAGTTGCAAACATTTGCCAGTCTTTATGTGTAGAAGTTCTTCCTAATTCTCAGGCTGTGCCCCCTAGTTCTAGAATTCCCAACCAGCGAAAATAGATCATTCACCCTGTCTTTTCCTGTTAATATTTTGAAAACTTTGATCATATCACCCTTTAACCTTCTAAATTCTAGAGAAAGCAAGCCTAATTTGTGTAATCTCTCCTTGCAACATAACCCCTGAATTCCAGGTATCATTCTTGAAAAACCTATTTTGAACTCTTTTGTATAACTGCAGCATAACTTCTGCATCCTTGTACTCTAGTCCTGTAGATATAAAGACCATCATTCCACTAACTTTCTTGATTATTCTCTGCATGTTTTTGACACTTAAAGATCTGATCACCCAAGTCTCTTCAGAGATCCATTGTATTCAACTTCATACCATCTAGAAAGTACCCTGATCTATCCTTTCTTGGTCCAAAATAGATAACCTCATGTTTGCTTACATTAAATAAGAATTAGAATTAGGATTAGTTTTATTGTCATGTGTTCAAATGAGTACAGTGAAAAGATTACAAGTCGCCACTTACAGTGCCATCTTAGGTACAAAGGTACCTACGTATATATTCTTAAGTACATATTCTTAAGTGCAAATTCTAAGGAAAAAAAATTAGAAAAATAAAGAAGTAAAACGCCCAGCATTACAAATCATAGGAATAAATTAGAAAAAAAAATGCAAAGTTCAAAATAACAGTCCTTCCAACCCAGTCCACGCTGGCACCTAGGCTCCAGTCTGCACAGGACCTTAATTCCAGACCACCCCCAGCTTCACCTCAAGGCTCTCAATGCTGGCAGACCACTCCAGGCTGGAAGTCCATGCTGAGGCCACACCGGGTTAGAAGACCACCATGCCGGGTGCCAACAAACCGCTAAACCATTCTCCAGGTTGTTTATCAATAAATGATTTTATCTTTTATTTTCTTGATCTCTCTCTGAACCTTCTCTGTGGCTGTAGCATTATATTCTGCATTCTGTTCTATTATCCTGGTATACTTACGTAAGGTTTCATTTGTCTGGTCAGCTTGCAAAACAATAATTTTCACTGTATCTTGGTACATGTGACAATAATAAATCAAATCAAATTGGATCAAATTCTGTACATATCCTAAATCAGTGTTCTCTTGATAAATCTATCAGCTCATCTCCCCTCAAATAGTTCCTGGACTTCCCTGCAACATCAGACACCTCTCTCAGAGAACAGTTCATTGGTCTACCATGTTGTCTATAATCTATTTACTTCAACTTTGTTCCATCAGGAAATTTCAGACAATACCTTTAAGCTCCCAGTGTTGTCTTCTGTTGTTTCCTGCTCTACTCTGGTACGACAGGTTCTGAGATGGCTGATAAACCCAATGTGCCATCTGCATACTCTGTGGGCAGGTAACATTTGAAAGGCTGGGCAGTTGGGTTGTTTGAAAGTTTGTGCTCGCCTCTGTCACCTTGACATCGCCTGCTCATGGTCCCAGCAATGCCTTTCACTGATTGGTGCCTTTCCGCATGAACGTTCTTCAGTTTGGTCAATCAGAGACCAGGGACATCAATGATTGCTGGAGATATTTGACTTCTTTAGGGAAGCTCTGATGATGTCCCTACATCTGCTCCACCTACCATCTAGCATAAAGTGTGAGGAGATCATGGGTTTCTTTGTCTCTAAGCTCGAGATTGACTGACCAGCTGTCTCTGCTGTGTTCCTCTTTTCCTCTAGTTGACTTTGCTAAACTACCACTAATGTTTCTCTTTATCCAGACTATATCTTTAGTTTCTATCCTACTTCTCCCCCCACCTGCTATAAGATCATCACATCCACAAGTCTCAATCCGTGCTCCACCAAACCCATTTTGGGTAAACAGTTGACAAGTCAGCTCCTCTTCCTGTCTGCTATGCTAACTGACTTAATTAGCAGCCTTCTCCCTTAAGGTACTGTCCCTCTACTCCATACCCTCTGCTATCATTTCCCATCAACTCAAAAATCATTTCCAGGCCCCTTCATTCTTTCAAACTATGGCCTGTATCAGACCTCTCTTTTGGCTCCAAATTCCCTGCATGAGTTGTTTCCTCACAAATCAGCTTGTCTAAAACTCCTTACTTGAATCCTTTCAATCAGGTTTTGTCCCATGCCAAATTATGAATGCTTCTTATCAAATGTAAACTCTACTTCCTTGTTCTCCTTTGCTTGATAGCAATCTTTGGCATTGTTAACCACATCATCCTGTATCAATGTCTCTTCACTGCATCCAGTTGTGAGACTGCTTCCACCTAGTCCCATTCCTATCTATCTCATTAATGCCAGAGAATCACTCACAAGGACTTCTCTTTTTGCTCTTGTACTCTGCCCTCTGGTGTCCTTAAAGGATCTAACCTTGGCTCCTTCTTATTTCTTATCTACGAACTGCCCCTCTATGACATCCTTCTAAAGTAGTGTCATATCCATTTGCATCATGCAATTTGCAGCTTTAACTCAATAGCCCCTCTCCTAACCTCAGTACTCTGTATAAATATTTGGACTGCTTATGCAACATACAGTACTGAATGAGCGGATGTTTTTCAAACTGAATACATAGTTAGTCAAATCCAGAATCTTTAGTCCATTACCATGGATTCCACCTTTCTCAATGTTAATTTTCTGAGGCTGAATCAAATGTTTACAACCTCTGTGTCATATATGATCAGATATCTACAGCATCACATAGACTACTTCCATAACATTTGCCAACACTGCTCCTGCCTTAGTTCAAGGGGAGGTAATAGCCTAGTGATATTATCGCTGGATCATTAATCCAACAACCCAGTTAATGTTCTGGAGACTTAAATTTGAATCCTGCCGCAGCAGATGGTGGAATTTGAATTCAATAAAAATCTGGAATTAAGAGTCCAATGATGACCATGAGAGCATTGTCAAGTGTCGGAAAACCCATCTCGTTCACTCATGTCCTTCAGAGAAGGAAACTGCCATCCCTACCTGTTCTGGACTACGCATTACTTCAGACCCACAACAAAGTTGTTGACACTTAGCTGACCTCTGGGCAATTATGGATGGGCAATAAATGCTGGCCTAGACAATGATGCACTTACCCCATGAATGAATAAAAGAAGAGTTCAGCTACTGCAGAAACTATTATCTGTGACTTTCTTATATCTCAAGTTGATTATTCCCTGCATGCCAATGCAGCACGTTCTACCACCTTTCAACTTGAGGTCATCCAAAACTTTATTATCTGTCTCCTCATACTAGGCCCTAACTTCTGGAATTCAGACCATAAACCTTTTCATCTCTGCCTCTCTAATCACATTCAGGACACTCCTTAGAACCTATTTCTTTGAAACCAGATTTTGGTCATCTGTCCTAATATCACCTTACATGGCTAAAGTGTCAAATACTATTTCATATTTTGATAAATATTATTTATTTTATTATTGATTTGATATCATTTATGTGCAGCACCTTGAAGTATGTTACTATATTATAGGTGCCATGTGCCATGTGCCCTGGAAATACAAATAAATGCAACAACTAAACACTTCCACTGAAAATTTAAATTAGAAAACCATAGTAATTAGAACCAGGTTGACCTTATTGACTACAAAGTCATTGATTGGGGCTGTTAACCCAGACCAATCAGGAAAGACCTGGATGATTGATATGACCAGATTAGAATCTCCTCAGTTCAGGCGACTGATTCTGAGCCGGCAGGCCGTACAGTGTATTTTGCACAAGTAAATAAAGGGTGACTTGTTGACAAGATACCAACCTCTGTGCAGTTATTTCAGTGGCGATGAGAGTAAACAGGACGTCTCTGAAGAACATTCGCTTGTTACCGTCATCTTGGAGTCGGAGTAATAATTTCTGGCATCATACCTTTATTTGGGAAGTTTGACTCATTTGATCCTGTTGGTGATGACTGGGCCCAGCATGTGGAAAGAATGTGACTTTTTTTTCCCAGGCAAATGACATTAGGGCAGATGAAAAGCAATGAGTTATCCTTCTGACTGCTTGCTGATCCGCAGCATTCTCGCTCATAAGGGGCTTAACTTTCCCAGAGGCACCAGACACCAAAACCTACCAGGGGTTAACAGAATAGGTTAAGGAATACTACAACCCCAAACCTAATCTAATTCTGAGATGCTATTGGTTTTATTCGGCTGTTAGAGAACTGGGCAACCTGTATTGGGATTTTTGACGAGGTTGAGACGGCTGGCAGAGGCATATAATTTTGGGTTAACACTGAATGAAATGCTGACAGACAGTTTGGTATGTGGGATTAAAGGCATAACCATGTAGAAGCACCTACTAGCTGAAGCCTAACTGGACTTCAAACAAACACTAAAACTGACGTCATCAGAAAATGCAGAAAGTGGAGCATGGGAGCTACAGGGCATCCCAAAGGAAATAGACTCCCTCACCTGTCCAACTGAGCTTGGGGAACATGACTTAAGTGTAGGCAATCCCAGAGCCTCACGCAGGGCATATCCTGAGCAGACGGAAACTAGACCAGTCCACAGCCGAACCCTACAGCAAAGCTGAGTCTCAGCCAAGTGGTTAAAAAGTTCTTCAGGATCTGAGCCGGCAAGCCATTGTAGTTGCTGCCAGTATGTGGATTCGAGACAGCAAAGGAGTCCTACAAGGCTGGACTTTAGTAAGAAAACCCAGGCTGGTATCCAGGAGAGTGCACACCCTGGAAGGTTCCCTTACATGTGGGTTGGGACAATTAAATTGCTTAGTGAGTCCAAATCGGAACCGATTCAAATTAATGTTTGGTTAAGTGGTCACCATTTCCTATGGAGGTCGATACCAGTGCAGTGATATCTGTGGTTGCAGAATCTGTCTTTAACAAGATTCGCTGGGACTCTCACCTTTAAGTTTGCCCAGACTGAGAACATACACTGGGGAACTATTGCAGATTAAGGGTATGACTTCAGTTCTGCTCTCCTATGAGAACCAGTTGGTGCAGTTACCACCGATGGTAGTAAGAGGCTCAGGTCCAAGCCTATTGGGTTGGAATTGGTTGAGAAAGATTCGCCTGGATTTGTTCAATATTTTTTGATTAGAAAATGGCTGCCTTAGTGAAGTTGTAGTCAAATACCCAAGAGTATTTAAGGAAGGGCTTGGGACTATCAAAAGGTGCCAAACCCACTTTACATGTTGACCAGGAAGCAATTCTGTGATTATGCAAGGCCTGCCCAGTGCCATTTGCCTTGTCAGCAAAAGTATAGGTAGAAACCAGGAGGCTGGAAACTGAAGGAATCATCAAACCAGTGCAGTTTGCAGAATGGCCAGCACCAGTCGTGCCGATTATAAAGCCTGATGGCTCAGTTCGCCTTTGTGGGGATTTCAAACAAACAGTAAACTGCTTCTCACAGATGGATAAGTACCTAGTCCCTCACACAGAGGACTCGTACACAAAGTTGGCAGGGGAGGGTGCTATCCTTTACTAAGCTGGACTTGTGCCACATCTACCTGCAATTGCGACTGGATGAGGAGTCCCAGAAGTATGCAACAATTAACACCCATAAAGGTTTATATCAATATATAAGACTGCCATTTGGGGTATCATCAGCCTGTGTTCTTTTCCAGCAGACCATGGAGAACACTTTACAAGGGCTACCCCAGGTTGCCATTTATCTGGATGACGCACTAATAACAGGGAAAACCAATAAAGAGCACTTGGAGAAATTGGACATAGTGCTTAAACGTTTCTCCCAGGTGGGCATACACCTTAGAAGGGAAAAATGTGTGTCCCAGGTGCCCAAGTGACCCACTTGAGTTACAGAGTCGACAAAACCAAATTACACTCATTGGAAGAAAAAGTGAGGGTGATTAAAGGACCCCAGCTCCCATGTCTGTACTTGGCCTTAAGACTTTCTTTGGGTTAGTGAATTATTACGGAAAATACATACGTAACCTGGCCTCCATCTTGGCACCCTTACACCTGCTACTGAAAAAGGGTCAGCCTTGGAAATGGTCACATAGCCAAGATGTAGCCTTTAGGAAGGTGAAAAAGCAGCTATTGTCATCCAAGGTGCTGGCCCACTGATATCCAAAATGAGAGGTAATACTGACATGCTATGCCTCCCCTTATGTTATTGGGTTAGTGTTGGCTCACCGTGACCCAATGGAGAGGAACACCCGATAGCATATACTTCCCGGACTTTGGCTGATGTCGAACACAAATATGGTCAGATAGAGAAGGAAGGTTTGGTGGTCATCATTGGTGTGAGGATGTTCCAACAGTACCTTTACGGACGGGAATTTGTCATAGTAACAAATAGCAAACCCCTGCTAGGGCTGCTGAAGGAAGGCAAGGCAGAGCTGCCTATCACTTCCGGTAGAATTCAGCTTTGAGCCTTTATTCTCAGCGCGTACAAAATAGAACACCATCCAGGAAGCTAAGTGGCTAATGCGGATGCCTTGAGCCACCGCCCATTGGCAGATACTCCACCAGTGGTGCCTCCCCTAGAAGACTCCGTTTTGGTTTTGAAATTCCTGGACACCCATTGCTGACAATATTCGACTGTGGACACAAAAAGATCCTGTCCTGGCGAAACTAAAACAGCTGGTGGTAATGGGGGAAACAGAAGAGCCATCGCAACCAGGATTGAAACCTTTTTGGACCCAGTGAGACCAGATCACAGTAGAGGACGGCACATTTCTCAGGGGAGCAAGGGTGATTGTCGCCGCTAGATGCAGGTTAAACTCCACCAGGGTCATCCAGGGATTTCCAAGATGAAGATGCTAGCAAGAAGCTATGTCTGGTGGCCAGGTTTGGATGCCGACATAGCTACGTTGGTGGGGCTGTGCCCAGAGTGCCAACAGTGACAATTACCACCAGGAGTGCCTCCAGATTTGTGGGAATGGCTGGGAAAAATCTGGCCTTGGTTTCTTATCGACTATGCCGGCCCTTTCATGGGCTCAATGTTCCTGGTCATTGTGGACACCCATTCAAAGTGGTTGGACGTGCATAAAGTTCGTTCAGCAAACTCAGGGATGACATTTGAGAAGCTGCAGGCGTAGTTCACAATACACAGACACCATTTGCCAGCAGGGAATTTGAGTATGTCCTAAAGTCAAATGGTATTCGGTACATAAGGAGAACGTCATACCATCCATCGTCCCATGGCCTAGTGGAAAGATCAGTCAAAATGTTGAAGGCAGGCTTAAAGAAGCAGCCTACAGCGTCAATTAATACCAAACTGTCCAGATTCCTGTTCGATTATAGGACCACCCCACACACAACAACAGGGTAAACTCTGGCAGAGGTGCTGATGAGGAGAAGACTCCACCCCAGGTTAAACCTGATATTCCCTGACCTGGGGGAGGTGGGGTTCAGGTGGGTGGTGAAGGGCGGAGTGGCGGGTGAAATGGCAGCAGGAATGCCAATGCTGGCCACATGCCGTCTCTAAGCGAGACAGACAATTTAATTCAGGGGACGAAGGTTGGTACCAGAACCATGGAAATAGCCCCTGCATGGGTACGAGTCAAGATTGACACGAGGTCAGGTCTCATGACTTACAAAGTTCAGGTAGGTGGTACAGTCCTGAACAAAAGTAGGGATCATCTGAAAGCTGTGACCTCACATATGGGGCAGGAGCAAAACATACCTGGCCCCTCAGAACAGCCAGAAGGCCCGGCAGAAACCATAGGTACTCCCCCTCCATCGAGAGTCGAGCAAGCCTCAGAGTCCGAGAGGGATACAGCCTCGATACCATTACCACTGGAGGAAGAGGAGGAGACTCTTCCAAGACGCTCCAAACGCAAGAGGCAGACTATAGGCCAGTACACACCGCCCATGTCAGAGTCCGAATCAGAAGAGCCGAATTTGGGTGAAAACATCACTGGAAAAGCTACAAGCCAAAGACCAGGCCTACATCCCTGGACATAGTGGGGGAGGGAGGTAGTGATTGGAACCAGGTTGATCTCATTGACTATGAGGTCATTGACTTGCCCAGTTTAACAACCCAATCAGAAAAGCCTTGGCTGACCAATACAACCAGGAGATTAGAATCTCCTCAGTTCAGGCGACGTAACTCTGAGCTGGTTGGTTACAGCCAGTGTACTGTTCACAAGTAAATAAAGGGTGACTTGGTGATGGGATACCGGCCTCTGTGCAGTTATTTCAAAAATTGATTGATTTTCAAGTTGTATTAAATAAAAATCTGAGAAAGGGGAACGAACATGATCACCTTGATCAATATCATATGAGCAAATCAAATCACAGAGTTCCATGTTCTAAACGCTCTCACTTTGCTTTGAAACATTAGAACGTAGAACAATACAGCACAGTTACAGGCTCTTCAGCCCACAATGTTGTACCGACCATGATGACATTCTAAACTAATCTCATCAGCCTGCACATGGTCCATACCCCTCTATTCTCTGCCTTTCATGTGTCTGTCTAAATGCCTCTTAAACTCTGCTATCATATCTGCTTCTACCGCTTCCCCATGACAGTGCATTCCAGGAACATACTCTCCTCTGTGTAAAAAAACTAGCCTCGCACATCTCCTTTAAACTGTCCCTCTCTCACCTTAAACCTATGTCACACTGTGTTTGATATTTCCACCCTGGGAAAGAGACAGTGATTATCCACCCTATCCATGCTTCTCATAATTTTATACACTTCTATCAGGTCATCCGTCAGTCTCCAATGTCCTATTGAAATCAATCCAAGTTCGTGTAACCTCTCCTTATAGCTAACATTACTTAAGAAACATACCCTGTGAATCCTAGATCTGGTCATGGGTTAGCACTAAATTAATTCTGTAATCACGCAAAGTTTATGATCTCTGGAAATTGGCCAGAACATTGAAGTTTCTGCCTCAGTGTATTGTTGCAAGATCCAAGCCTGAAAGCAAGCTTAGGATACGGTAATAGAGTTAAAGAATCTGAATTTCTCGATATTTTAAGTACTTTAATATTGATATTTCAACACATGCACTAATAGGAGCTCTGGGCTAATCTTTATAAGGACTAGAATATATTGCTGACCCAACGTTTCCTTCCCTCAAACAATAAGTGATGATTCATTTCCCTATTGTTTGCCACCCCACACTGAAACTAACATCACCATTAACACAGCTAGCATGTCATGCACTTGTGAAAATTCATTTGACAAGTGAGGAGTAGGAGGAAAGAGGGAAGGGCGAATAGCACAACCCAAATATAGACTTCAGATATCATGGTGTGCTCAGGAATGATCAATTTCATATCAGTAATCATGCCCTGAAACTAGCACAATCAGTGGTGAACACACTGCTGGCACTCAGTTTTGGGAGCAGGTTGAGAAGGAACAATATGTAAAGATATACTTGGGTTTTCTATTGACTGTTGTGTTGTTTTCTGTGTTTTTCTTTCAGGCTGAGTCATGTCCTGGATTTGCCCTCAGCGACGAAGCAAAGGGTCTAGCCACTGACCTCAAAGGAAGCCTCGTTGAGAGATACAGTGACCTCTGTGGTGAAACCCCTTACCTCGTTCGCCTTTCAGTGGATTGTAGCATTTCGCACTGGGGATTCTGACATTGAGCTACAGCAATGTCCAAGCCACCAATACAGTTAAAGAATTGATGTCCAGTTAAATAATTCTCACAGATAGTCAATCAGGAAGACAAGTTTAAAAGAAAAATTTACACAGAACAAAATATGAATTAAGGCAAACACACTGGATGATGGCAGAAGCTGAAGAACAATTGCTATGACTGAAGCTGGAGGTGTGCCCTGTCGCTTTAGACCCACTAGTCAACAAATCATAGCATAAAAAAATTCTCTAATTACAAAGAAGACTAATTAAATACCTTATCTATACCAGGTTTTAAACAAGAAGATCTATTAATTAGATTACTTAAAACACAGATATTGGTTTATTATCGAATGGTTGGTTAACACAGTCAGTAATGTTGAAGTATATTCTTCTAAATATCTCCAAATCATATCCACAAACACTCTCCCAGACACACATCTACTGACACACATACATACCCATGCACATAGCTCTAGGAAAAGGAACAATCTCTGTAGAGCTTAACTTTATGGAAAAACAAATCAGTTTGGCCAAAGAGTTATTCTTGAAGGCAGAGGGATAAAGCACAGAATGTCCCAGAGTCTGATCTTCTGGTATTGTGGTCAAATCATTAAACACAATGTTATCTCTGAACTCTTGCAGACTGTTTGTTCAGCAAATAAAATCTTGAGCTGTTCCTTCAATCACTCTTTCAAAAGAACAAATGGTTTTCATCCTGAACTCATTATTTTCTCTTCAAAAAAGGAAGAAAGAGATCATCTGGGCAGCGTGGTCTTTTCAGGCTTCCCTCCAATTCAGTTTGCTTTTTGTAGGCTTTCCTCCAATTGAACCAAAGAAAATAAGTATGTCTTGAAACCAGTTACTGTTCAAAACAGCCCCAGCGTGGACTGCAGCAAAACAAGCAGTTACCACCCATCAGAGATAACAAGGTGCAGAGCTGGATAAACACAGCAGGCCAAGCCTAGGCCCGAACCGTCAGCCTTCCTGTTCCTCTGATGCTGCTTGGCCTGCTGTGTTCATCCAGCTCTGCACCTTGTTATCTCAGATTCTCCAGTTACCACCAATCATGTGGTTCCCGGGAAGTCTTGTTAAAAAATTCTCTGATGTCCACAGTGAACTTTCAATGAGCTCTTTTATCAAACAACCACAGTTATTTCCACAGGACACCAAGTAAAGCTGTTTTCCTTTATCATCAAAACTTAAGTCCTCCTCCCAACAATATTAAATATGAAGCAGCTCTGTAACTCTTGCATTCCTGGAAAAAATAAACATTGTTTTTAAATTGTTTCATTGTAAAGTGTGAACCAAAATTATTTTTAAAAGTTAAGACACATCCGCACACATTCTCATTCAATCTTTCCATTAACACATATTTATCATTGATATCTTCTTAGTACTTAAACAATTTGACAATTTGACAGGGTGACATACCTGATAAAGCATTGGCAATTACATTGATTTTTCTCACAATGTGGACAATCTTTATTAAGTGTTAAAGACTTAAAAAGGTCTTGAAAAGATCCTATCAAAATAGTCCAATATTTTGGTCCATTTTTTCCCACGAAGGCTAGGGGTTTGTGTGCAGTACCAATGTCTCACTGATGCCATGACAGACATAAACTTCAAAATATTTTTCCATGATAGTGTATTGCTTTTTGTGTCAACTTAGCTTGAAACAGAATTGCTTCTACTCCAAAGTCACTAACATCAACTGACACCTTGAAGGGTTTACTTTAATCTAGTTGTGACTGCACTGGTTCATTGATCATAATAGCTTTCAACTTCTCAAAAGGTGGCTTGCATTTCTGTAACCACATTACTTTGGCTTTCTTTTGGGAGAAAATCATCAGTGGAGCAATCACGGTGCTGAAAAATTTGGTACAAGCTTTCAATAAAACCCACACATTCCCAAAAATCTCAATATTTTCCATTTAAGGGAAGGGAACATAAAAGTTTGTGCTTTTGTTTTTACACTCAGTATTTTACTCCCATCTTTGCAAATTCACTTTTGGCAAGTTTTATCACCAAGTCACCCAATTGTAATTTCTTCAGCAAAGCTCCTAGTTGTTCCAAGAGGTCCTCACAAGTATCATGGTATATCAATGCATTAATAAAATAAATTTCTCCACTTATCTGCTCCTTTATCCACCCTCCATCACTGCCTCCCCCCTCTCTCTATTTACTCCAGAGTCTCCTTCCCCGCCCCCATTTCTGAAGAAGGGTCCAGACCCGAAACATCAGCTTTCCTGCTCCTCTGATGCTGCCTGGCCTGCTGTGTTCCTCCAGCTCTACACCTTGTTATCTCTATTGCACAATTAGGAATACTGACTACCACTAGATTCATCTGTCTCTGGGAACATGCTGGTGTTTTTTGAAGAAGTAGCAAAAAGAATCAATGAGGGTATTGCTGTTGATGTATTTACAAGGACTTTCAAAAGGGCTTCAATACAGTGCTACACAACAAAGCTATGAGAATATTTAAAGCTCATAGAATAAAGGGGATATAAAATGGCTGAGTAATTGGAAACAGAGTAATAATCAATAGATACTTTCAGGACAAAGGCTTGTGGTGGAGTTCCCAAAGGTCAGTATTGGGAACCTTGCTTTTTTGACATATATTAATAATCCAGATCTTGGAGTGCAAGAGACAAGTTCAAAATCGCAGATGATACAAGACTTGGAAGCTTTGTAAGGAGGACAATGTAGAATTCCAAAAGAACCTAGCAAATTGGTCAAGTGGTCTGATAGTGGCAGATGAAATTCAATGCAGAAAAACATGAGGTGGTGTGTTTTGTAGGAAGAATGTGGAGAGACATTATAAAAATGGGGTACAATAGTTGAAAGTGTGCAGAAGCACACCTGTATTTGTGTACAGATAATTGAAAGTGACAGAACAGGTAGAGAAAACAGTTAATAAAGCACACAGTATCCTTGGTTTTATTAACAGGAACACAGAGTTATACAGCAAGAAGGTTATGCTAAACTTACACAAGGCAGTTGTTAGATCTCAGCTGGAGTACTGTATACAATTCTGGGCACTGCACAATAAGAAAGATATGAATGCAATGGAGACAATTCAGAAGAGGTTTACAAGAATGGTTACAGGGATGAGAAACTTCAGTTATGAGAGCAGATCGGAGAGGTTTGGAACTGTTCTTGTGGGAAAGAAGGCAGCTGACAAGTAATCTGACAGTAGCTTTCAGAATCATGAGAAATCTAGATACAGTAGATAGGGAAAAATTGTTTCCACTTGTTAAATGATCAAGGACAAAAGGGCACAGTTTTAAAGTAAATTTGCAAATGTAGGAAATATGATATGAGAGAAAGAAAAACTTTTCAGACAATGAGTGGTTCAGCTTTGAAATGCCATGGAATTGTAGTGGAGGAGAGTCAATTCAGTCTTTCAGATTGATTGAACAGAATAATTTGTAAGGGCATGGGAAAATGGCAGGAGAATGGCACATAATGCTCATTGGAGAGCCAGTGTACTGAATGGTCTCCTTCTGTGCTGTAACATACCTGTGATTCGGTAATTTTTAGCCTGAATGGGATTGCTTGAGATTGGAAAATGATATGACAAAGGCTGATAGCTCTTTAAGAGACAAAAAAAAACTGCAGATGCGGAATCCAAGGTAGACAAACAGGAGGCTGGAAGAACACAGCAGGCCGGGCAGTATCTGGAGGAAAGAAGTAGTCAATGTTTTGGCTATAACCCTTCTTCAGGACGTTGATTGCTCCTTTCCTCCAGATGCTGCCCGGTTTTCTGTGTTCTTCCAGCTTCCTGATAACTCTTTAACCCTGGGTGTTAAAGAAACATGACAGTATCCGTTTATCAAATGTGTTTTAGTAAGGAATCTGGTAATGCCATCTCTTTCAGTACAATCTTCCAAGTAGGAAATTAGACAGGGTTCTACCATTGTTATTACAAATATATGAAACAGATATAGAGGGAGACCAATCAACACTTTGTAACTGCTCCAATATACAATAAGATCATGGCAGACCTGTTTGTGTTTTGAGTTCTTTAATCCCATCCATCCCTAATAGCCTTTGATTCCTTTCCCAAACTAGAATCTATCCACCTCTGCCTTAAAAATATTCAATGGCCCCATCTTCACCAGCTTCTGATACAGAATTTCAAAGTCACATAACCGTCTGAGAGAGAAAAATATCAATCTCCTCATCTCTATCTTGAAAGGGCAAGCCCTAATTTAAAACCGTGCACCCTGACTCTGAACTGACACAAAAGAGGAAATAACCTCTCTACCTCCACCTTGTCAAAACCATTCAGGATCTTAAACATCTCAAATAATCACCCCTCAATCTTCTGAAAGTCCAATGGAAATAAACACAGCCTGTCCAACCTATCCTAAGATACGTACTCTCTCCAGTTATCAATCTAGTAAACCATCTCTGAACTCTTTCAGTACATTTACAGCCATTGTAAACAAGGAGACCAAAAGTGGCTCAGTGGTTAGCACAGCTGCCTCACAACACCAGGGACCTGGGTTCAATTCCACCCTTGGGCAACTGTCTGTGCGCAGTTTGCACATTCTCCCTGTGTCTGCATGGGTATGCGCCAGTTTACCCCCGCAGTCCAAAGATGTGCAGGATAGGTGGATTGGCCATGCTGAATTGCCCCTAGTGTTCAGGGATGTGTAGATTAGGTGGGTTATAAGGGGATGGATCTGGCTGGGATGCTCCGAGGGTTGGTGTGGACTTGTTGGGCAAAAGGGCCTATTTCCACACTGTTGGGATTCTATGAAATCTTTGTCTTACATGGAGAGATTGAGCAGTCTTGGTATTTAGAGTTTAAAAGAATGAGAGGAGATCTAGTTGAGTTATATAAGATATTAGAGAGGATATTTCTCTTTGTGGGGTAATCTAGAATGAGATGTCATAGTCTTACGCTAAGGGGTAGCTGATTTAAAAGAGGTAAGGAGAAATTACTTCTTTCAAATGGTTCGTGATTCTGTGGAATTCACTCCCCTACAGTGCAGTGGATGCTGGGAGATTGAATAAATTTAAAGAGATAGACAGATTTTTAATTAGTAACGGGTTGGAAGTTTATGGTGAGCAGACAGGAGAGTAGAGTTGGACCAAGATGCGTTCCACTGTATTTCTATTAAATGGCAGAGCAGGCTCAAGGAGCTGAATTGTTTACTCCTGCTCACAGTTCTTATGTTCTGAGGTATTCAAGATGTGGTGTTACAAATGCTCTGTATAACAAATAACCTTTTACTTTTATGTTCAATTCAATGCAGAATCCGGTTTAACCACCTCCATAAATACACTTAGTAGACTGGGAAAGGATGGGGTTTGTGTGTATGTGTGTGTGAGGGGATGGGGGGCAGGAATGGGGCTGTGATGTTGGTTAACACAATGGGTTTCATTTTGGACCGGATGGCAGATCCAACACAACAGTTCCATTGAATCCTCCTCTGTGAGAAGGCTTTGCGATGATTGAGATCGAGTGGTGTCCATGCAGCAATTGCAACTGGTTATTTAATCACCCAAACAGGGCAAGAGATGAGCTGATGTGGGAAAAAGACCATTTTCCCAGGTACTACTTGTATTGCTGCTCTGAATTTGTGAATGAGGCATATATTGGAGGAGTGAAGAGAATGTTTTTCCTTTATGTGTCATTGTCCTGTTAGAGCTTATTAACACCACCTCCATAGGATAATTTTTCATCTTTAACATCAATGGCTTTTTTTCTGTGAAGTGGTAATTATCCCTCTCAGGGTGTATAAACTTGTTTTGTATTGTGTTAAATATTTCTTTAAACATCCTCCAACATTCTTCAGTTGTTTTAGCCATTAGCAAATTTTCCCACTTTACTGAGGAAAGTCTCTGTCACACCTATTAAAATCAGCCTTACCTAATCTAAAATTCTAGTAGCTGATTCATGCTTTTCACGTTCAAATGCTACTTTGAACTCGGCCATGTTGTTATCACTGTTTGATAAATGTCAATAAGGACGCCAATTATATCCAGCTTGTTACTCATTACTAAATCCAATATTGCTTGTTCCCTTGTTGCATCCAGGACATATTGCTGTATGAAACTATGCCTGACATCTTGCTGTATGAAACTATCTCAGGCACACTCTAGATATTCACTACCTTTCTGACAGGTGCCCATCTGGCTCTCCAAATCCATGTTAAAGTTAAAATTCCCCATTAATACTAGACTTTGCTACACACTTGCCTAATTTCTGCATTTATACAATCTAGCACTTCAGTACAGCTATCA